AGCTCAACGCTAATTACAATTCAACTTCCACAAAGTTCGACTTCACATTCTCGCTTTCTAAGCTCCTTGCTGATATCATGTCTTACTGCACTGGGAACCAAAAATAAATTCGAACTACACGCAGGAATAACATGAGAAAAAAATCGAATGAGAAAAAATGTTTCCTCCCCAACCAGGATTATTATAGCTCGGAAGGTAACGAATACGCTGAAAGGGGTCTTCCGTATAGTCGTTCAAATCTGGTCGGAGTTGCCAAACGGGAAGTACTGTACGTCATAACGCATCGCGTGGATGACGAAATGAATCATGATTTTCTATTACCGGAAAATATAACTTTTTCAAAATGTTGACAATAAATCATCCCACGTTTCGCCATCAAAATCTGTCGAAAAATTCCCTCGAACGGAACACGTCGAAAAGAAATATTAAGCCGTTCGGAACTGGATTTGCGGTACTGAATTAGCATTTTCTGCAATAACAAAATCCTCGATCAAATCACGCAAACTCTTTACACATTCAAAATGTAAATTATCCTCGAAAATCAGATTTACAATTATTGAACCAAGACTCACAACCAAGGAGCGAGACCAAAAGCCTCCTTAAACAAATAATCGATACCATCGGAGTTGAGAATCCCCCGCGTCAACCGCAAATGCCAATCGTGCGTCTTCTTCTTCTCCTCTACACTCGTGTACTGACAAACGCACACAGTGTCTGCCTCGAACATCGTATCGAGGTCAACGGACAGGTCGTCTTCCGAGTTGAGTGGAGACATGGGCTCACCAGGATCTACTTCTTGGTCTTCGTCATTGGCCTCGCTGTCGTTGTCGTCAGACGATGAGGAAGAGGAGGCTTGGCCATTTTTCGGCGGGCTGAGTTTGTTGCGCTTGGCTGCAGGTGCGTCCGGATCAGAGTCTGAGTCCGAACTGGAGTCGTAGTGGCCGTCAAGTTGGGGGAATACTTCGTCAATTCGGTCTTCAATCAGCACCTTTCGATAGAGAAACGTGGAGAGAGAATTGAAACCTTTTGCACAACAATACTACAATGGCAATTCAAGGCCATCAGAGATAACCCTCTCACACCGTCACTTCAATTCGCAACTCGGATTAGAAAAAAAATATCTGCACCACATTTTCGCTGAGATTTTCCCCACTTCTATCGAAACTTGTGGAATCACTGACGGTCCAAAATTTTGAAATTATCTTTTTTTCTCTCAGCTTGACGGATTTGCAGCATAAAACCGGCTGCTACTCTTCTTATCCTTCCAAAAAAGTGTTTGATATCTTGAAGACTAACTAAGATTGGACTCCTCGAAGAGAACAATACCGACAGAACCCCTCCGCGAAAATTTTATCTATATAACGATTTTTGTTGTTGTTTTTTTGGGTTTCATAGGGTTCTTTATCCATCTTATAGGTCTCCACAACTACTTTTTCGTCCACGTGTAACACAACGATCGACAAGTGGTGTGAAACACGCGTTCGTGGTTGACTCACAGAGAAGGTTCCCAACTAACAGACATTTCATCACAATTGTGCTAAGAAGGAATTAGGAGAACAAAAGGGATTATCTTCCATCATCAGGCGAACTAACCTTCGCTCGGTTATCCGGGATATTGTCCCGCCTGATGACATCCCCCAAAGCCGCAATCTCGTCCCTGAGCTGTTGCGGAGATTTCTCCTTGGCGTAAACAGGAACCAAGATCGGAATGGTCGGTCTTGCAGTGCCGTCTTCACGAGCTATTTTGATCTGAATCGCCACCTTTTCCGGCGTGAGTCCGTAATACGGAACGGCACCTGATTCGCGAATCTTACGCACCCAAATCTGCTTCAAATCTTTCATTAAGTTTGGGTCTATATTCTCGTCCACCAGCATAGGAGTACACTTGCTCAGCACATCGTCAACAACGTACTCGTACGCTTGAGCGACTTCTTTAAGGTGCTTAACTTGTGTCACGTTCATCTTTTCACGTCCTGCAACGCCGATGCATAAAAAAACTTACAATGAACGGCAAATAACTCGACTCCAGAAATTTCGAAGTTCCATCCACCACAATAACTACCAGCTGTTGGTTATTTGAATACTCTCGATATTTGAAAGTAAAATTGATCCTTCAGATTCCGATCAACACCCAGGTTTCTCCAAGATGTTCACAGCAAAATCTGATGCAAATTCCAACCTAATCTATAAATGCACCCCCGCCTCCCACTATAAAGCGAAGAGGAAAAATTATTGGCCCTATCGAAGTTCACCCTCATTACCTGAAGTTGACCCTGATTAATACGCATTACTTGGGTTGAAGTTAATGGAGTTAGTTCTTCATGCAAAATGACGATAGCCAGGTAAAAGTAAAGGATATTTACTTATTTAATATTCCTAACTCGAGACAGAATTCAGCTGAAGTAAATATGGCAGATTCCGAATATCAGCTAAGATACGACATACTTCGTTGGGTTATTTCTAAGTCAGATTCTAATACAATTTTCGTTTAAAAGGGTTAAAAGAAACCTGGATGTTCAAACGATCAGCAAGCTATGTTTACACGCAAATTGAAATTTCCCATCTACGAGGCGAAGCTGGCAGTTTTTGGCGGAGAGACACAAAATACATCTGACATAGTTCCGATGGACGGTTTCTTTTTCATGCCGAGAAATTCGAGCAACCGGACGGAACGCAAAAAATTTCGAGATCACATTATGACCCTCATCTTGACTAGCCACTAATTCAGTTTCATAAAATCACAAATTTTTCACTTCGTCTGAGTGTGTGCGCGTAAACTTGACAAAACGTGATCAACAACTGCGAGAAATACGCGAAAAAAACTCAATTCCCGTATCCTTGCAAACGTGGTAAAATTCAATGCAATTGTATCATAATCGGTACAAATGACCAGCACGTTTCCCTGTGCTGCGAACATATTCCAACTTTGGCTTACGTTCAACTGATAGATGAATGAAAATTCAGGAAGTTTTGCACATTCCAAAATATGAATAATACCCCATTCGATGAAAGAATTTAGCAAATGTATGAACAATATTCCGAGTTTTCATTCAGACAAATTAGTTTCCCAGAATAGTCGTAAGCAAAGTTCTGTACTCTCCAGTCGGCGAGAAAGTCAACTCACGAAATTTTAGTTTGTAGGTCCGACGTCACAAAATATTCGACATCTGAGGTTGAACAAAAGCTGCAATAAGAATGTTTTGAATTGGCGTTAGACACGAAGGTTCAACCCGTCAAAAGGAAAATAAATGCCATAAGGAAAATAGAACCGACCAACCCCGAACACAATTCGACCTTTATAATTTTTTGGAAGGGCCTTTGAAGAATCAGGTAAGCTTTGCTTTGCATTATACCAAAACTACGAAAACCTAAAAATTCGGTATACAATTTCAAAAAGCTCACAAAATCAAGATACTGTACCAGGAGTGTAACCAAGAACACCTTTCACAACTGACCCAGGTTCAGAAGCTGACGTACTCCCGCACGAATTTTTCAGAAGACAGCAGATTATTAAAAAGAATACAATAAAAGGAAAAGAATGCTGGACGGAACGGTAGCGGTATCAGTGATTTCACGAACAAAAAGGACCGAGACAATGATCACTGCTAACCCTGAGCCCGAGCCATAAGTGCTGATGGATGACATACATTTCAGGTGGGATGTTACCCGCACACGCAGTTGAACCCCTTCGCGCGGGCCCGACTTGGTTCCTTCCAACAGCCGAGAACCAGTCCCTTTGACGCATCAAAAGCCTCGTGACGCCTTCGCACTCCAGGAACACATCGTTGGCAGTGATTTCTTCTTTTGCCACTTCGCTCAGAACCCGGTAACTGTGGATCCATGTCCTGATGCAAACGAAGTCCTGTTGCAACTGCATTGCTCCGAAGAAGTTGAACTTGAGCTCATTCTTCAGTATGACCTCCAACATCGAGTGACACAAAGCCTTCACTATTTCTTGCCTAGGGATAAAGAAATTCCCATGGACCGTTAATCCAACCAGAGGAAATAAGTGGCGAGTCTCTGCACGAAAAATTCGCACAATGAAAAAGCCTACGGGGAAAATCGTGATACTGTATCACATAACGAAATTGTTGCAATTGACATTTCTTGGCAGGAAACCCCTCGAATTTTGACATGTTTTGGGCTAAAACTTCGAAATTTTCGTGAAATTTGAAGAAAAATTTAAAAAGGGTACACTTTTTCGCTTTTTCCTCTTTCTGTTCGTTAACTTCGTGAAATTCAGGAAGATAATAGCAGAAAGATGAAGAATGTTTTTGGATGACTGTGGGTGGGGAGGGGGCCTGGATGTGGGAATATTGTTCGAACCTTGTGAAAATAAAGCTTGCTGTTCAATTCAATAACAGCACAAACTCAATTCAGGATCACCTCAATTCAAACATCGAATTCAATAATAGATGCTGAAAAATAATAATATGCAGCTACTAAGCTTGAATATGGGTTTCTAGTGAGTTACTCGAAAGATTGCATCTACTGTACTGCATTTCACAAAGCAACCTTCAGGGAAATACGCGTTTCGCATTAAGAAAATACCACAGAACGAAACGCACACAGGAACGGATTTTTTCGGTCATGTGGGGGGACCCACTATACTTAGCCTTGAGAATTCGGACTAAAATTGCACTCAATACACATGCTTACAGAAAAATTCGAACATCAATATTGCTTGTAAGAATATTTAAAATCATCAGAAGTTTCAGAACTATGAACTCACCCTATCAAAGATTGCGAAGCATCCGACAAATTTCGTAAGGCATCAA